ATTTAGATAAGGCATAAGAAGGAAATTCTTCCCCATGAGGGTGGGTAGGCGCTGGCCCAGGCTGCCCAGAGGAGCTGTGGCTGCCCCCTCCCTGGCAAGGTTCAAGGCCAGGTTGGACGGGGCTGGGAGCACCCTGGGCTGGGGGAAGGGGTCCCTGCCCATGGCAGGCGGGTGGGATGAGATAATATTTAAGGTCACTTCCAACCCAAACCATTCTGTGATTCTATGTATGAAGTGTTTGAGAGACTTCTGGGCTAAAACAGCTTGTTCTTGGCTCCTAAGGACAAGGACAGAGCAGACTTTTGGACTCTGAGGCTTACAACAAAACCTCTACACAAATTTTTAATTAGAGATGGAGATAATATGAGGGCTTTGAACATTGTTTAAATATCAGAAGAACTTCACATACTGTAAAAAATGAAGTGTCCAATGATAATACAATAATTCTGGTGCCAGCATTTCTCAGTGTCCACTGCTGGCTATGTAATTCTTGCCAGGAAAACTGAACTCCGTGCCAGACGGTTTAATTCGACTACTCTTCTGACAGAAGTATAATAATAGCTAGTAGGAAACTTGTTTTGACTACAAGTTATGTTAAAGCAGCTGCCTATAGTCTCAAAGCAGTGGATAGCATCTGTGAAAGTATTTAATACCGCAGCAAGATTCCAAGTTACAGTAGTTCTCTTCTTCAGTAGAGTATGACAAGGTGAGAATTGATCTTGTAAGCCTCAGTGCAGGTGTGAAAAAATGAGATGCCAACAAGATGCATCCTAATGGTATTTCCTTGAAGACTTCGAAGGATGTAGCTCTTTGTACAAGGAATATGACTGAAGAGCAAGTTTGAGAATTATAATTAAGAGAAATATTTTCAGTTTTTCAAACTGAATGACAGATACTTTTACCCAGTAGACAGCAATTTTACCAACAGCATTTCTAAATTTGTCTCAGCATTCAAGTCATTCACCTGATTTCTTGTTGAGAAAGTAAGATATAATAATTCATAATATGAAATCATGAAAAGGTGCATCCACGTTACTCTTAATGATCTTCCCTAACAGGAAAATTGGTATCTCCTACTCTGTGTAAAAGACTAAAGAATGTAGAAAAAACCATAAGAATAGATCTGCTTGAACTCGAGCAACGCTCAGCCTGGTGCAGAAGACACTCTCTACACTGAGGTTGTAAACGGGTCTGTTGTACTGTACATTTCCAGCCTGCTTCTCCTGGAAAATTTCACTCAGTAAAAAATGATGAACAAAGAACAGCATTGGATTCTCCTACGAAATCCACAAGCAGCACTGAAACTGTTAGATCTGCTGCACAAAACCTGGCTATTTGAACTGAGTAACTGACAACAACCTCGTCAGTAAGACTATGATGACTGCAAATTCAGAGGGATGAAAATCCTCTTTTTTCAGAGGTTTGGGTCAGCAGCAAGAAAACAGCAACACCTGGTAGTTTTGGGGAGTGCATTCTGGAGACTGCTGTTTTTCAACAGCTTCCTGAACAATCTGGACAAAAGCGGGCAGACAGAACTCGTGTTTAGGACATTTGCAGGTGACACCACGCGGTGGGAAGCGGGCACATTAGTTAACACAATAAACAGCAGAGTGCCAAGTCATGGATGATTGTGCCAACAAAAACTCACAAAATTCAGTCAGGTAAAGTGCAACTTTTTGCTTCACGAACAGAATTATAACAACCTAGGCTGGGAACTTTCTGTCTGAGTACCAACCCTACCCAACCCAAGCCTGGGGTTTATGGCCAGTAGGGTGTTGAACACAAGGCAGCAGTGTATTCTCCCTAGAAACAAGGCAAACCACACATTGGGCTGCATGAGGAAGAGTATGCCAAGCAAACTTAACAATAGTGATTCGCCTCCTCTACCTGGCAACAGCTAAGTCTTACCTAGAATATTTTGTCCAGGCATTGGGCCTACAGCTCAAGGAGCATGTGAGGAAACTGGAAAGGGCTAGGCTACATCATCTGTGACAAGAGGTTGAAGTATCTAGGCTCCTTTACCCTGGTGTAGAGGTGGCTACAGGGTCAAGTCATCTAATGCCAGCCTGCAACTGCCCAAAGAGTAATTACAAAGACAACATTAACTAACTTTTCTCAGTGGGGAGTGGTGTAATACAGCAAGCCATAGCCAGCAGCTTTGGAGGTTCACACTAGATATTAGGCAGTACTTAGCATTAAGGCAGTGCAGCCATGGAACAGGCCTCCTGGAGAGGCTGTAGAATTTCCTGGAGGTTTACATGGGTCATCTGACACATTCATGCCTGATTGCTCTTGGTGACTGTCCTGCTTTTGAGCAGGAAGTTGGACTAGATGATGTCCAGTAGCCCTTTCCAACCAAAATTTCTATTATGCTAAAGTTACTTCTAGAAAGCCAGAAAAGAGTGGAAGAAAACGAAGCACAGAAAAATGAGTACTAAAAACTGACGACCCAAGATTCATCAGTGAATTTAGGACCAGGTCTAAGCAACCTCGTCATACAGAAAAGAAACTCTAATTGACAGCAGAATGCACAACGTTTGATCACAAAATTAGGAAGGAGAAAGCATATGCCAGAATCACTTTATTTGAAGTTGAGGATATTATTAATTTTTCAGCACCCCTACTATTTTGTTGCATTTCAACTACATAATAAAGAATCTTGAATAATTTTAATTCCCTGGAAGCAATAGTTAATACAGCACCTCTAGTAAGTTGGAAATGAGCCAATCCTATTATTAGACGACAACTGGAAAACAATGTTCTGTCATCACCGCTTTTATGATTACACGAAACTTTCCTGAGAAGTCTAAAGATTAATTTAAACCTAGACCCTGCAGGGAAATCTTCTAGTACCAAAAGAGAGCATGACAGATTTAAAAGAAAAATCTTTATTACACTTCCAGTGAATTTCACCAAAGTTTTGAAAGATACAGGGCCAAACTAACAGATAGAAATATTGATTATGTAGCTGTAATTGTAAATAGAACTGATCAAGTATTAGTATTCCTTTAAAATCACACATAACTTTTAAATTTGTTACTGATTTAGACTCTTAACATGATGAAATATGCACAACTCTGTAAATAACAGACTTAGGAATTCACCATAAAATTCAGTATATGAAAATGTTTTCAACTGGATATAGTCATTCAAGCAGCTTATTTGGTAAACCTGTTTTTTCTTTGTATTCTGGGCACTGGTCTAGGTTACCTGACAAATATTGGCTGTAATGAAATATACAGTATGAAAGAACTATTTTGATAACAGAGTTTTGCAAGTTTTGAAAATAGAAGTTTTGAATACATAGTTCATAAAAAATATCCCTTTTCACTTACAAAGAAACATGCATCATCTCTATAGCAATGTTTTTTACTGTTATTATTATTTTTCTTACTGTATTACAAAATATGACATTTTTTGTATTCTTCTTACTCAAAGCTGCCAGATTTTGGTTCTGATTTGCAGCGTACTTTATAGTAAATTAAATGAGCTGCTACATCCTACGCATGTCAAGTTTTTGTTCTCTGGAAAAGCAAATTAGGATACTGAAATTTATTTGCCTAAATGTGAAAACTATATGACCAAGTTGCTAATCTGTAGAATATTACATAAAATACAAAATATGCTGTCTCACTCTCTCCGTTGGCACTTTGTTCTGAAACTTAGTGAGTTCTCAAGTTAGCACACATTTTTTAACAATCCAGGTATAGATAAATCTGTAAACAACTTGATTAGTGGAAGACACTAGAATAGCTAAGGAAACAGACTATACTACGTATTTATTTTACTCCATCATTCTAAGAGCTTTCACAAAGGAAAGGTGAAATATCAAAACTGACCACAGAAGGAGCTACCAGCTACCACAACGTCCGTTTCTGCCTCCACTACCATTACCACAGCAGGACTGCCTAATCTGTTCATGGGTCATCTTCTTCATTGCTATTTTTCCATGAGCCTGTATTGCACAAGATCAAATATTCTATTACAAACCACTTTTGCATGTTCCTGAGAGCCCATAAACATTAAAATAAGCCCACAAAAAAGATTTAGTTAAAGAAGCTTAAATGAAGGAGGTCTCCACCCTCCTCTGTGTACCACTAGTATTACCTAGAATATTCTTATTCAGAAAAATTAAATAAACCCCAGCTGAATAGGATTTGGTTTTCATAGTTTTGGGCTTTGTTGTCGCTGTTTATGAAGTTGTAATCTCACATTGTATTGTGTTTTACACCAAATTTATAGCAGAATTTTTAGCATGAAAAAGCAACGAAAGACTCAGACCCAATTTCAGTGCAAGTAACGTCCTTTTCTTTACAGTTGTGACTTCTGAAGACATATTTTTGTAAAGATGGTCATTTTACCCTCTTT